ACATGTGACGACCCCGGGCTGGACTCCGCTTCGTCCACGGTGAAAGCCGATCCGGCGATCCACAGAGCAAAGTTGTAGTATTTCCTCAGCAACCAGCACGGATCAGCTCCAGGCATGCCGAAGCAGATATCGTCCTCTTTTGGGAGGCCAAAAAAAGTAGTTTCGCTTTCACAACGAATCACAGCGCCTTCACGACATGGCGGCGGCAACAACAATGCTACAGCGAGAATAAAAGTTACGCCTTCTTTCTTTGCGTGAACATTTGGCCGGCGTTATGCAAATCTTCCCACATAGTGAGGTAGATATGTGGGGGCGTGTTAGAACAAGCCGTTTTAGGTAGGCGTGGCTGACTCTTAACTTCTATAAAGAATATCTCTTTGGATTTGAGACTTTAATCTTTGCAACTTTACAGATCTTCTTTATGCACCAAGAGCTTGTAACAAGAGAAAGGAACTATTTAAATCGCATCATATGACCCCTTTTATAGACTTTTCACTCATTTCCTCCATGTCTGCAGTTATCTGTCACTAGTTGCATTCACTCGTTTCCCAAAGTCATCATGAATGTTGAATTTTCAATACAGCTGAAATATTTGAGAGAACATCCCATAAGCTAGCTTAATTTTCCTAAAAATGTTTTTTTTTAACTCACCATTACAGTGATTAGCATTCTCATTGGTTGGTCACTTGGAACTTCGTTTGTATTATTTTAGTGTTCTTCCTGTTAATGCAGCAATGCAACATGAAATTGGAGTTATTTGACTTCAAGGGAAGAAAAGTAATAAATAGATTGATTTTAGAGAGTGATCCCTCTTCAAATTAAATCATTAGTGTATTGTTTTGTGATTATTAGCGATCTTTTACAATTTCATTGATTTTCATGAATACCTTGAAAAGTTTATTATTGGGTTGATATAATCCTTTCATATTTGTGGTAATATGCTCAAGTCACACACAGACTTCAACATTCAGCACAAGAATCACAACAATGGTAACAATTCAATTTCATTTATTTGTATTAATTGTAACAATAAACATTTTATTTGCTCTTTTTGTTGTGCTACTACTGACACAAGACAGCAAATACAATTGGAAAATTAAAACAACTACTGTAAAACAAAGCAATTGCATAATTTATTCATGCCGCAATGCACTCTGGGAGTCAGTAATTCTGAGTAGTAATGTTCCTCAGAGCACAGATTCAATTAAAGGGGTCATATGATGTGATTTCAAGTTTTCCTTTCTCTTTGGAGTGTTACAAGCTGATTGTGCATAGATAAGATCCCTGAAGTTGCAAAGACTAAAGTCTCAAAACCAAAGAGATATTCTTTATCAAAGTTAAGCCTCTGCCACGCCCCCCTAAAACGGCTCGTTCTAACACGCCCCCACATATCTCCCTCACTATGTGGAAATATTAGCATAATGCCGCCCAAATGTGCACGCAAAGAAAAAAGGTGTGGTTTCAGGAAAAGCAGTAGTGTTGATGCAGCCATGTCAGCGAGACACTGTGTGTTTCAGTGCGAAAGCAAAAGCACTTTATTTGGCCTTCCGAAAGTAGATGCATTAAGATCACTTACATTTATCCGGGTTTAGAGTGCAGGAATAAATTACATTTTAAAATATATTAAAATGGTAAAAGAGTTCATTTAAATATAATAATAGCTATTCACAAATAATATTTTCAATATGTTTTTACTGTATTTTTGATCAAATAATTGCAGAAACATCAAAAAATCTTACCAAGCCCAAACATTTGAATGGTGGTGTATATGGGTTTTACTGATTGCATTTATCATTTATCAAGATTTCACTCTTGTTCTCTCTTTCTCCTTACTTTTTAATTGTCTCTTATTCAGGTGATCCCAGACCATGCTGAACAGGAGTGGCACCCAAAGTGCCCAGATCTGTATGCTGGAATTTTTCACTTCCGTTTCTGGCGACTGGGCCAGTGGACAGATGTCGTGGTCGATGACCGTTTACCAGTCAGTGAGGATGGAGCGCTGCTCTTCTGCCGTTCTGCAACTCCACGGGAATTCTGGAGCGCTTTGTTGGAGAAAGCTTATGCCAAGTGAGATGCTTGTCAAATAAGACAGAATTGTTTCAATAAATTAAAGCTCTTTTATTAAAAAAAAAAAAAAAGAATTGTTTTAAAAAATTAAAACTCTTTTATTAAAAAAAAAAAAAAATTGTGTCTCTCTTTTTGCATTTTTAGGTTAAATGGGTGTTATGAGGCTTTAGAGGGAGGTAATACAGCCGAAGCCCTAGTTGATTTTACTGGTGGCGTCTCTGAACCATTGAATTTGAACCAGGAGGAACTGATCCAGCATGCTGACCAGAGAAAAATGCTGTTCCAGACACTAGCACACGCACATAGCCATAAAGCCCTCATCACCTGTTCCATTCGGGTCAGAAAACAGGACATTTTTTTCTATTTTTTTTTACAGTCTAAACACCCTGCAAATCAATTAACTAAAGCAAATGCCACATAATAACTGTTCTCTGTGTCCTGATAGGAATAATGATACATTCAACTCACACAGCTCTGATTTTTACCTCTTTCTTTTGTACACACTTTGTCTCTTTTTGTGTTGCAGCCAGCAGAAGGAGAGCAGGTAGAATCAGTTCTAGACTGTGGACTGATAAAGGGTCATGCATACGGTGTGACTGCATTCAAAAAACTTCGTATGTCAGAGACTCTGAATGGCATGTGTAATGCAACTCGTTTGCACATGGTCCGGATGAGGAACCCTTGGGGCACAGCAGACTGGACAGGAGCATGGAGTCTTGGGTGAGTTAATGGCTACCTATCTCTCTCAGAAGCACAAAATCACTGAATAATCATGGTTAGCATACCCCAAAATTAGACAATTTAATTGAGTTCTTGGTGTTTCCCATGGTTCTCTGTAAACAGTGCTGCAATCGATTGGTGCACGGTACTTATAAGATACAAAGAAGAGCAATACCAAGGTTGTGTGTTTGAGCCTCACCTGGAACATGATTTTAGGAAGACATTAATTAGGAGTCGTTTAGAGGGCAGAGAGCTAAACCCTTTAGTTGCGCACAAGTTCAAGATCATTTGCCATTCATAGATTTCACAGAAAGAGAGGCGTACGTGTGTTTTCTGTGCATACGTTCACTTTATGAATCACACGTAGCCTATGCATATTTGAGAGAATTTAGGATGGTTTCTGCGCAACATTTTATAAATGAGGCCCAGTGTGTGGTACTTATAAGGCAGTACAAAGCAGAGCAATGCCGAGGTTGTGAGTTTGAGCCTCACCTGGAGCATGGTTTTAGGATGCAAGAAACGAGATCAAAGACTAACATAAAAGATGTAAACGTCACCATTCCCCTTAGATTCTATACTTGAATAGAGACGTTCCAGTAAAAAAATAATTCAAGGTCTTAATTTAAAGATCAGACTAATATTAGCTGGCAATCTTTAATTGATGTGGATGCTTTGTAAGCATATATGCTAATGTTCCAATGAGTGAGATTTGAAAGTTGGGGCTTGAGTTTTCAAGCCTCTTTGGAACAGCAGCTCCAGTGGCGCAATTGGTTAGTGCGTGGTAGTTATAAGTCAATACAATGCAGAACGATGCCGAGGTTGTAAATTTGAGCCTCACCAGCATGGTTTTAGGATGGAAGAATCATGCTAGAAAAAAAGAGATCAACGACTAATGTCAAAAATAAACTACAGTTTTAGGATGCAAGAAACAAGATCAAAAACTAACATAAAAGATAAGTAAATGACACCATTCCCCTTAGATTCTATACTTAAATAGAGACATTTCAGTAAAAAGATATTTCAAGGTCTTAAGTTAAAGTTCTCACTAAGATTAGCTGGCAATCTTTATTTGAAGTGGACACTTAGTAGTGTATCTGCTAATGTTCCAATGAGGGATATTTGGAAGATGGGACTTGTGTATTAAAGGGTTAGTTCACCCAAAAATGAAAATTAGCTTGTGTTTTACTCACCCTCTAGGTATCCTAGGTGTATATGACTTTCTTCTTTCAGACGAATCCAGTCGGAGTTATATTAAAAATTGTCCTGGCTATTCCAAGCTCTATCACTGCAGTCAGCGGGTGTTGCAGTTGAACAGTCCACAAGTCGTCAAATAAAGCGCGCGCATTCATAATAAACGTGCCTCACACCGCTCAGGTGAATAAAGGCCTCCTGTAGTGAATTTATGTGTTTTTGTAATAAAAATATCCATATTTCAAACGTAATAAATACTTTTTTCTCACTTCCGTTATCTGTCATATGCGTAAGCCGTTCCGGCGGATGGCATTGTCATCTCTCGTGCCACCGTTGGTAAAAAAAATTAGCCAATCACCATCGAGTGTTCGCTTTCAGCGCTGAGGAGTGTTGAGAAAAGAAACCTCGTAAGTTATATTAAAGAATCTTATTTCAAGAATCATGACAACTCTGTCTGGTCCGCAAACTACGTTTCATATAACTCCTCCCCAAACTTCCCGCTGCCTGGTATCTTGCTCTCTCATTGGCTGTAGGTCTTCGCCGATGTCTTTTTCAGTAACAACTCATATCATTGTTATCACTTGTCAGATGGCATGTCAATCAAACTCCCTGAAGGGTCAATTGACAGTCAGCGTGTGGTATGTTAATGTGGTGTGTATGTTAATGCCCCTATAAATGAGACCTGGAGATTCGGCTTTATATTTGTAATTTTTCTCATGTTGTTCTTCGATACCAGCTCCAGTGGTGCAGTTGGTCAATGTGCAGTATTAAAAGGCAGGACAATGGTGAGGTTGTGAGTTTGAGCCTCACATGGGGCACAGTTTTAAGATGAAAGAGACATTCTAGTAAGTAAAGAGTTCAGGATCTAATCTGAAAAACCAGTGTAACATTGGTTGACCCTCTTCAATTGAGGTAGAAAATATGTAGTGTTCTTTGAGAGAGACTTTTTGCCAAATTTGATAACTGGGACAAACTATGACATGGAAAGTGTTTGAAATTTAAAGCTTGTAAAGCTGGTTACTTTTCAGTTCTCCTCAGTGGCAGCAGCTAAGCCGCAGAGAACGGGAGAAGATGGGCCTTGTTGTCCGAGATGTTGGAGAGTTTTGGTAATGTAAATTTTCAGTGACATTAATGTGTAATTGGCAAAAAAATGGAGTATATGGACATCATTCTTTTGAGAAACATGTTTTAACGCAGTATTGTAAATTTATAATTTTCCTTAGGATGGAGTTTGAGGACTTCTGCCGTTACTTCACAGACATGGTGGTTTGCAGGTTGGCGGAAAAATCCCTCCTCTGGCCACAGACCCACTGGAGGGAGGTGTGCTGCCAGGGTGCTTGGACCTATGCATCTGGGATCCAACCTCCTCCCTCATCTTCTTGTCATCTAAACATCAAGAACCAGAGGCCTTCAACCGGGCTCCAATGGTCCAAACAAAGGCCAGCTCAAAGACAAGACAAAAAGGAACAAAGACTGAGTGAAAGGCAGAAGGAGGGACAAATCCAAGGACAAAAACAGAAAAAGAAAGAAGAAGTAAAACCAAAGCAAATTAAGGGGAGAAGGGAGCATGTGAAAAAACAGGCAGAAGGCACGGCGATGAGATGGGAGAGGCAAATTGACAGAAGAAGTCGATGTGGAGGATGTATCAATCACAGAGACACATTTCTATACAACCCACAGGTACATCACTCTGGGAATTTCCAAACTAAAAATGATATTGAAGCATAGATTATTTGGTTAAGGTTAGTTCAAAATCCTTATTTTATCTCTAGCTCTCTTAATCATATGTTCCCTAATTTTACATTCAGATGTTTGTCCTTCATTTCTTAGTTCCTTTTTGAACTGACTGGAGATGGGGCAGAGGTGTTGATATGTTTGCAACAGGAGGACAGGAGGATGAAAAGGAGGGAGGGAAGTGGGGAGAACTTACCAATCGGCTTTGAGGTTCTAAGGGTAAGTGACTGACTACATTTTTAAACATTGTCAGATTTTGACTGAGGCTGTTCACAGTTCATAGAATCTATGTGGGCTGTGGGGGTGGTTTATTTATTTTTTATTACAAGTTCTATGCAATCTATGCAATATCACACAAGCAACAGCGGTGTTGCTCCAAATATCAGGTGGTATTTATGACTGTGAATATGATATTGTTTTCATACATAAGTTGAATAAACAAAACTTAATATTGAGTCATTTATATTTAAATATTTGGTGATCCCGAGTCTGAATGAGTGTTTTGGAATTAATTGCTTGAGTGAATAGTCACTTGTCCTCAATGTGTCAGACTTGACCGTCTGTTTATCCTTCCTTCAGGTGGAGGTGAATCGTGTTTGTCGTGTACAGTGTTTATGTGAGCAGGCTGCTAGCTCTGTGTATATGGACTCCCGTAGCGTTACTCTGCGAGTGAATCTTGGCCCTGGACGCTACATCATCCTCCCCACTACTTTCCTGCCTGGTGCAACTGGTCGGTTCCTTCTGCGTTTTTTCTCACACTCACATGTACGCCTCAGGTAGGCACAGAAGATTAGGCTACTCTGCTCTGTTTTGTATTCAAATAAGCAACCAATTGAACAGTAAACAAAATGTAGATCTAGTTGCAGATACTTATAGTTGAATGCAGTAATTTTTAATGTTGAATGTTTACTAAGGTGACTGATTTAAATGATTAGGAAGTGTCTTCAAAATTAATCTTTTTTGTTTTGTTTTTTGTCTTCTTCACTTTATCTACTGTCTTCAGGGAGTTGAAGGAATAGTGTAAATAGAATCCATTGCTAATACGAGATTTGAAAAGGGAGGGGAATAAAGTTCTGCAAAAGACGGGATCGAACCCGGGTCGATCGTGTCAAAAAGCCAACAACACAGGCTTATTCATCTGCATCACTGGAGCTGATGGTTTACAGCCACTTTGAACTAAATGTGAATAGACACCCTGTATTTTTTATTCCATAGTAAGGGCAATTCATACAACATTTAAACTGAGCTACTTTAATACCATCTCCGAACGGTCTACCACGGCCCTGCTGTTCTTCGGCTGGTTTTTCCTGTATACGTTGATTGACAGATGTCTCATCCAGTCAGCGGTGAGTAATCCCAAACCAATGGCGCTGTCTCAAACTATACCTACCTCTTCCGGTTTGTCTGATTTGTCATTGTGTTTTCTGACTTGTTATAATGTTTTCTGAATTGTTGTTGTGTTTTCTGAATTGTTATTTTGTTTTTTAGACTTGCATTTGCGTTTGTAATTTGTTATTTTGTTTTCAGAATTGTGGTTTGCTTTGCACTTCTCGGCCACCGTAATATTTCAACTTTTTCTAAGTATAAGTCAAGTATACTTAAATGTCATTTTAAGTATATTTCTGAGAAGTACATAAAGCCCATTTCTGAGAAGTACATAAAAATTAGACTGAAAGTATACTTTCCTATTTTTAGCACTTGAATAAACTTCTTTTTCGTAAGGGTCTTCCTGTTTTTTCCCTTCTGATTTTCATCTCAGGGACAATAACTCCCTGTTATTGTCCCTGAGATGAAAATCAGAAGTTCATCAGAAAATTAAAAAATTCACTGCAGCATAATGCCTTTTTGTGATGCTCTTTGCACACAGCAAGAACTGGTTTATCTTGAAATGTTACCGTTTTGAAACCTTCTGAAACCAAGTGCACAAAACTTTTCATGGCTGTTTCTGATCCAGGAGTGTGTCAGATAAAGACTTTCCCGAACCACACAGGTGAAAATGCATGGTTTTACTGTATATCAGTAAGTGGATTCTAATACACTGATTCACATAGTCAAGAGAATGCAAAACTCTGCATTTCAGTACTGTGACCTTTAATAAATGCACAAAGAATGCTTCTTTTGGAAACGGGTCATGCGTTTCCCTGAGTAATATTGTTTGCTTTGCGTAGACATCATGGATCTAAAGCAAACATAGACTTACATGTGAGATCTTCTCTAAAGCATCTTGCTCTAGCATGTATTGTGCAAACCAGGGATTTTTACATTTTCACTTTGCACTTAGTGAACATAACAGGCATATTTGCTCAAAAGTAACCTTATGGCTGTTTCTATTTCAGGGGTGGTTATTCGCATTGCTCAAATTACAATAGGTGTGTTGCAGTGAATCTGAAAGTGCCAAAAGCTATTCTTCTGCTTTTATCTTCCATTATTTAAACTGCTCTTATGTTGCCTGCCATCACAGGTGCAGTATATCTGCAAGACTGTCCCCAGAAGCACTAGATTCCAGTGTATGTGCTAGTCTGTGAAGTGTTTAGTGTATTTCTAGCCTTGCTGAATATCTTGAAAATCTTGAATATTTTTTTATTGCGTGTGGTATATTTTATAGTTTATCATAATGAATTTAAATAGAGATTTTCTAATATTTCTATTTAATTTATTTAATATTTGTTTTTGTATCTGTACTTGTATTCGTGGATTTTCAAAAAAATTCACTAAAAAGCAACCTTGCGGATCACCGGTAAAGCATTATTACCGTAAGCTTGTTTTGCCTCATTCTGTAGGCCATCTTCATGGATCTTAATAATAGGGTTATTGATGGTTTTGTGTGATAAACTCAAACTGAAAAAAGTGCTTCTGTGCTTTTTTTTAAACATTCTTTAAAATATCTTCTCAACAGTTTTGCAAGTAAATTTGTTATTACAAGGATTTTTGATGATGTTATTGTGAAATACTAATTATGAAAATGACTGTACTTGTCATATCTGCTAGTCAAAAATGTGCACGAAAATTGTTTTCATCATCTAGGTTTTATTTCCTTGAACAAAACTAAACCTAGTTTTATCAAGAATGCAAAATGAAAAGCACTAATGAAAATAAGCACCTGTCAGACATTTTTTCCAGCCTATTAAATTCATTGCAGCATGATGCATGTTTGTGATATTTTTTGTAAACCGCAAGAACAGGTTTATCTTGAAATGCTATGGTCGTGAGGTGAGTGATGCAGCCTTCTAAAAATGTGAGCGCACAGCCCATGAAGAATCATTTCAGGCTGTATCTGATC